CATCACGCCCAGCCTCATTTTTTTTATTTTTGGTAGAGATAGAGGTTTCACTTTGTTGCCCAGGTTGGACTCCTGAGCTCAGGGTATCTGCCCACCTCGGCCTCCAAAAGTGCTGGGATTACTACAAGCATGAGTCACTGTGCCCTGCCCAGGGGAATTTTTTTTTTTTTTTTTAAACAGAGTCTTGCTCTGTCACCCAGGCTGGAGTGCAGTGGTGTGATCTCACTGCAACCTCCACCTCCTGGTTCAAGGAATTCTCCTGCCTCAGCCTCCCGTGTAGCTGGGACTACAGGCGCTCGCCACAACCACGCCAGGCCAATTTTTTTTGTGTATTTTTTGTAGAGACGGGGTCTCACCATGTTGGCCAGGCTAGTCTTGAACTGCTGACGTCAAGTGATCCGCCTGCCTCGGCCTCCCGAAGTCCTGGGATTACAGAAGCCACCGTGCCTGGCCCCAAAGGGAATCTTTTAAAGACAAGAGAAGTTCCCATAAGCTGTCTTGAAACCAAGGGTTATAAAGACCAAAGGTTAGAAGGGTTTGCCGCAGGCGCTCCATTGCTAATGTTTTTGTGAGGGCTTCTTCAGGGCCTCTTGTTAGAGCGTGACATAAACGACTCCATTTGGGTTACGGCAAGTGTCACGGGGGGAAGAGACCAGCAGAAACCTTAAGATGACCCCTAGCAGGGCAGGAGGCCAGGGTAACAGAGTTAGACGAGCCACGTGCTAAGCAGGACGTCGCTGCCGGGGACAGCCCTCCAGACGGCAGCCCTCCAGACACGCAGAAATGCCACAGTCCGGACCGCGGGAGGCAGCGGACTCGCCCAAGGGGCAGGGGGAGCCTGGCCAGGAGAGAATGAGGGAGGGGCCGGGAGTGAGGTTCGGCAGGGGAGAACCCACGCAGGGAGGGCCTCGAGCGGCCACGGACGCCTCTTTGCCATTTTGGACGTTTTTGGGGAGGACAACCCGCGCAGGAAGAGCAGTCATCTCAAGCTGACCTCCAAGGCTACCGGGTTCGAGCGCTGAAGCCGGGTCTGAAAGCCCCGACTCGCCTATGGCACGGGGACTGTGGGTCCAGCCGGCCGCTTGGCCCCCTCGCTCGGCCTTGGTCCAGGCGCAGCGCTCGGGCCCCA